GTTAAAACATAGCAAACTTAGAACTATACTTTATTTCTAAACATGCTAAATTGGAAAGATAGGATGGTAATTATTGCTTAATAAAGACATGTTGTGAATGCTGTTCAGCTTGCAATCATGAACAGAATTCACAAGAAATACTAATTCAAAGCGGGAAATGTTCATACTACATGAGAAGAGAGTGCTGATTTGTTGGCAAGTGGATTCTGATCGGTGGAGGCATTGCACACTCAGTAATATTTAGCAAGTGTTGCTCAATTGCAGAATCATATCTAAGGTTGGAAACTGTGTTGTATGTTTTGCAAGTTCAGTTTGACATGATTCCCGGTTGGGACCTATGTTGGCAACTAACATAGGGCTATTTTTGGTTGTGTCTTTTTTTTTCTTTCTTTTCTTTTTTTTCTTTGTTTTTCTTTCTTTTTTCTCTTTTTTTTTCTCCTTTTTTTATTTTCCCCTTTCTTCCCAATATAAGATTTTTTAAAAAATATCATTTTAGGATTGTCGGTCTGAATCTTCCGCCAACCAGCTTCCACTTGCCAATCAACCGCTCTTTCTTCTCACGGACTCATAGTAAATAGAGGTGTACAGCATGGAAACAGACACTTTGGTCCAACTCATCCATGCTGACTAGATATTCAAAATTATTCTAGTCCCATTTGCCAGTATTTGGCCCATATCCCTCTCAACCCTTTCTACTCATATACTCATCCAAATGCCTTTTAAATGTTGTAATTGTACCAGCCTACACCACTTCCTCTGGCAGCTCATTCTATACATGCATCACCCTCTGTGTGAAAAAGTTGCCCCTTAGGTCCCTTTTAAATCTTTGCCCTTTCACCATAAACCTATGCCCTCTAGTTTTGGATTTCCCTAGCCTGGGGAAAGCCCTTGACTATTCACCCTATCCATGCCCCTCAGGATTTTATAAACTTCTGTGAGGTCACCCCTCAGCTTCTGATGCTCCGGGGAAAATAGCCCCAGCCTATTCAGCCTCTCCCTATAGCTCGAACCCTCCAAACCTGGCAATATTCCGAAAATATTTGGTATAAAAGTTGATTTTTTTACCCCTTGAATCGGTATTCTTGTGAATTCCCATGTCCTTTCCCACAGTAATATTATGAAGTTCAGTCAGGTCAGGAGCATACCTCTGCCACATTTCAGAATGTCAGCAGAGACTTAACTTGTTCCAGGTATTCTGTTTTTGCTTGGCTGTGGAGTAGCGTTTCTAAAGATGCTCTAAATCGGAGAAGTCATGTGATCGAGCTGGAAGGGAAATTAAGGAATGCAAGTGAAGACTTTAGAATCAAAGACAAAGACTAAGTTGAGGACTTCTTCAAAATGTTCTCTCCAGTGAACAGTCTGCCTGCCTGCCCTTGATGAGCTCTCCTTCCAGTTGTTCTCAGTGGGGTCTACACTTCATACACAACAATCGATAATGAGCAATGCAATAAAATGTTAATTTGTGTTTTAATCACAAGGAAAACCTCAAGTAAATGACAACTAACTAGGAACACAGAAAAATGAGAAAGCAATATGCATTCACACATCAAGTATTTCTCAAATATTTCTAGATGCAACATTACATCAAATGAATTAATGTAAAGTAACCATTCAAATGGATGAAATGGGGAAAAGTCATTGTGGAATTATAAAGGTAATTGCTTTTCAGAAATATTCATATTGCTGCTAATTTCAATGTTCTGCTCCAGTTGGTCTTTCCAGTATGTTGCCAGTTAGATTGGCCTTAGGTAATGGATGATTGCTCATATTGATGCCACGGTCATATTTTATCTTGATGAGAATTTAATAGCCATGGGATTCCCATGGTGTGAACTGCCTAATAATTAAATAGGGGTATCATTTATTTTTTGAAAACAAAGGGAAGATTTCCATTGATTTTGAACAAGATGGTAAATTAAGGCAGAAGTGATTGCAATTTTACTTCAGCTGACTTTGCATAATATAAAGTCATACTGGGTGAAGGGAGACTGATCAGTCAGGGCAGCCCAGCATTACTGCTGGTTTCACTGTCCTCAGGGGTTCACGTTTGCTGAAGGGAACGGGGGAATGGACAAGCCTTATTGGTTACAAACCAGTCCACTTCAGTGATGGGCAAGTTATTGACAAAGATTCCACGACAGTATAAATTGTAATTTAGGAAAACATTAAGAACAACGTGGATCTATGTCAGCATCAATTTCATCAGGGACGGTCGGATCCGATAAAACTAACTGAATGTTTTGACAACAAAAGTGGAAATTGCTGGAAAAACTCAGCAGGTCTGGCAGCATCTGTGGAGAGAAATCAGAGTTAACACTACTGAGTTCTGAGGGAGGGTCATTCGACCCAAAATGTTAACCCTGATTTCTCTTCATAGATGCTGCCAGACCTGCTGAGCTTTTCCAGCAATTTCTGTGTTTGTTTCTGGTTTACAGCATCTGCAGTTCTTTCAGTTTTATGAATGTTTTGAGAGGTTAACAAGGGTGGGTAATGGGGTAATTGAACTCTCTTCTCATCCTCACCAGATCTAGAGATAGCCATGCCGGCCTATCTAAGCTATTTCTTTATCACAACTCTTCCTCATTTTCTAAACTTGTTTGTGCTGCCGAAATGCATTATTCACATTTCTCCAGATTCAACTGAATTTTCCACTTCTCCACCCACATCAACTACAGGCTGAACTTTCATATCAGCTGCAAACTTTCTAATTATGCCCTTGACATTTAAGTTTGCATGGACTTTAAGAAGGCTTTTGACAAGGTCCTACAAGGTAGAATGGTCAGAAAACAAAAAGTTCATGAGTTCCAAAAAAAAGTTGCAGGTTGGACTCAAAATTGACCTCGTAGAAAGCAAAAGATGATGGTTGAAGGGTGTTTTTGTCACTGGAAATCTGTTTCCATTTGGGTTCTGCTGAGCTCAGTCACTTGCAGTTCGTCACATTTATAATAAGTTAGACTTAAATGTCAGGAGCATAATTAGGAAGTTTGCAACTGATAAGAAAATTTGCCTTGAGGTGAGAAGACAAGTCCACCTACCTGGGAATTTGCAAGAAAGTTTCCAATGGACAACTGCCCAGCACCTGGAACCCTCCAAAAATGTCCAACTCTAAATTAGAGTCAGGAACCCAGAGTGTTGCAAGTCACAGACCTGCAAACATTTAAGGAAGACAATCTCATTCTAACTCCTGAGTGACCATTGAGATGACTCCCCAATTCAAAATTGACCTTGCATTTTCTGATCTGATCCAATCATCTCTGACCACATACACACCTCCGCCAACCCACCCTAGCTCAACCATGTGCCAGCCTAACCCCTCACCACACTATACCATTCTCCCCACCCACACAAACCAGAGAGCAGATAAATACAACATGAGGGTCATGATCTACAGCACTTACCTTCAGTGAGATAGGAGGAGAGGAATGGAGATACATAGACCCACAGCCAAAAGAATGGGGGTTTTCAGGCAATGGAAATTTTTAGGTAGATTTTGCTGATTTTGAAATCCAATGATTGGACCAACAACAGGTAAATGGAATTGAGATTCCAATCAAACATCATCCAACCAGATGGCAGAAGAGGCTGGAGGCACTGAATGTTCTCCTTACGTGACAGAAGTTTTGACTCTAGCCTATTGAAGCATGCTGCAAAAACAGCTCTGGGCTTCAGTGGATTTTGTATAAATGTTTCTATGTCAATGGTGTCATCCTGCACTTCAAAACACTGTTATTAATATTCTATCAAACACATTGTTGAATGTAAAATGTAAGAACCATGTCTTTTTTATTTTTCAATTTTAAGAATTATGGATTGTAAGGAGAAAGAACTGATTTTTAAAAAAAATTCACCAGGATTGCTACATTAATCTACAGCAAGGAACTTGAAACGAATTGTGATTTCTGTTTTTTTGTGGCTGTGAGCTCCTACAGTTGAAATGATCAGAAGCAGAGGAGTTGTTTACAAGTGAAGCTGATTGGTTCCCAGCTAACTGAGCAGGTTGGAACTGGACACAAGTTACAGAGACACAGACATTGAGAGAGAAAAGCTCAAAAGGTGTGCTGTTATTCTCTTCTGTAGAAGTTGTCTGTTCTCTGCAGTGAAACACCTCAATTTAAACTTGAAGAAAACAAGTTACTTTTCCCACAGCCATTGCTGTGATCCGTGACGTTTTCATTGATAAATTAAACATTTTCTTAGTGAATCAGTCACTCTGTATTTCTTACAAATCTCTGGAAGCTTCCAGAGAATCAACTGAACACCAAGAGCTAACTAAAGACCAATCATTTCAACATCAGAACTGGGAAGCAAAGGCTATTGCACTAACTTTCCAGGTATTTTCCCCCATACCTGCCAATAATCCATTTCTGCTATTTCTATGTAAGAGGAAGATTATAAAGGGATTAGAATCTGAATTACTGGTGCTATATGCTAATGATTTGTATCTGTTTACCTGTAGCTATAGTCTAATTACTCATAATAAATAATAATCCTTGGTTTGTACAGAAACAGGGTCCATGCTTTCTATCAACATTTGGTCTGAAAGTCAGGTAAATTGCATTCTGTAAGTGTCTTGAAAAACTTTAACATTTGGTATGACTCTGTGAATAGCAGGGCTGGATTTACAGTACACCATCCCAATGGGTTGTAATAACAATACATGTTCATTAAAATTTTGTTCTACCTTTATGTGAATACTTTGTGGGTCTAAATGTGGAACATGAACAATTTATCATCATTGGCTTTGAAGGGGCTTTAGTCAGTTTTAATGAGGGCTGTTTTTCTTTCTATCTCAGAGAGCAGACACAGGCAGCAGGATTTAGAGCAACAACAATTTATTTGGTCAAAGTCTTTGCCACCTAAATACTCACATCAAGGTTTTCATCCAAGTCAGCATATCCAGGAAAGTAGAAGATATAGATTATTAATAATATTTAAAATGCAAAAAAGGTCACTTTTGGAATATCATTGCACTAAATGCAGCTCTAAAAAAATCAAACAGGTTTTGTTTTTAAATAACAAGTTTTCTACTTTATTAAAATAATACCAAAATATACATTTAACATTCCAATCCCCGTTTGTGAATATACTGACGTCATATTTAACATCTTTACATGAAAAGAAAATAATTTTAAAGAATATCTTTCTTAAAATTAGACAAGGTATTCTTTATTTTTCTTATTTTTTCCATATTTCTTCTTTTGATAATCACCTGTCACCAGAATTGATAAGGATGGATAATCTGACTTTCTTCATGGTCATTTTGGATAGAAAGGGATTTGGGATTTACAAAGGACAGTGGTCACCAAGGAGCAATTCAATTGCATTGTAGATTTTATTAAGTAACTCCTGCCATCTTCCGAGGACTCAATGACATTAGACACTCATTTCTCTTTCAGCTTTTACTTCATCCTTCCCAGTAAGTCTTGACAAATCCGAACAACACGCACGGATTAACTAAGAGTATTAGGTTTTTTTGTTTTGTTTTATAGAAACTATCCAAGATATACCGTCCCCCTCAAAAATGTGTAGTTTGCTGTTCAATGAATGAACAATTCTTTTTTAAATTTAGCCACGTAATTTCAAAATTGGAAGAATATTTGAGTTCTAAGGTTTTGGAGTAGATTTGTAGCTCGGGTTGTGGGTGTTGAGGTTGGTTGGCTCGCCGAGCTGGTTTGTTGTTTCGCAGACATTTCGTTACCGTGCTGGGTAACATCCTAAGTGCAGCCTCCGATGAAGCGTTGGTGTGTTTTCCCGCCTGGTTTTTTAACTCTGGAGTCCATTGAGTTTCAGATTAAAGAGTGACAATCTTAACCTGATCGCACATTTCTCGGAATGTCCCTCCGTTGATGAACTAGTTGGACTGAAGCAGGAATGTCCTTCCCTGTCTCCCACACGCTTCATCTTCATTCAATGGTGGGAGATGGGCATTGTACTAATGCCAATGTACCAATGTTCTGGGGGCATGGATTTACATCTCGCTATAGCAGTTGGTGGAATTCAAATTCAATTAACAAATCAGGAATTGAAAGTTAATTTCTATACGGGTGACCATGGAATCATTGTCAATTGTTGCAAAAACTCACTGGGTTCACTCATGTCCTTTGAGGAGGAAAAACTGCTGTCCCTATGTGGTCTGGCCTACATGTGACTCCAAACCCTTAACAATATGGCTGGCTCTTAATTGCCTTCTGAAATGACCAAGCAAGACGATCATTCTAGAGCAACTAAAGATTATCCTTATCAGTGACAAGCAAATCCCATGAAATACTAACTAAATGAATTTGTACTCCATCCAGTATCCTTGACAAGAACTGAAACATTCACCCAACTCAGGGAGTCAGGGTTGAATGAGATTTACCTTGACATACACAATCATAACCAATTACCTGTCACTGAAAACATGAGAAAATCTCCCTAACCAGAATTCTGGAGGAACTGACTATTAAGCAACAGTTACTCTGAAAGTGGCTTCACAATAAAAACCTTATCCCACAACATTTAACAAATCTATAACAAGGTTCAACTAATTTAATACAAAGAAATAATAGACTAAAGGAATATAATTTACAGTAATATATGTTCCAAAATTCATTCACTTAAACTATACAAATCAAGTCTTAAAATATTCTTTGATAATAGGTGTAATAGGGAGTTTTACTGTCTAAAATGTATGTTAAACCAACTTGTTATATTCTCCTGCATCAGAAATTAGGAGAGCAGCAGAACAGATTGGAGAAGTACATAGATAAAAGGATGACAATCAACAATTGGAATATGGAATTTGGCCATTGGTAACTTACAGGCTTCTTCATACTTTACTTTTTACGGGTTATCTATTTTTACTCTGCCTATTATCCAGGCAAGGAATCTTCCAAATTATCCCTGCAACTGCCATAAGATGCTAGTTATTAGCTGGAGGGCAGTCGATTCACTACATTTCGCTCCTTTGCTTTCCTATCGCACAACTACCTACTGTGATGACCTAATAGTGGCAATTCATCATGAGGGGAATCTCAGACACAAGTCTGCAGGCTGTACCTACAGACTTCTGCTCCAGTGGGCTGCATCCCCGCTTAGTCTACCATTCCTTGATGGTTTGGTATATAGCTCTCAACAACAGTACATTCTGAAGAGAAGGCATTTTTCTTGCTAGTTAATGTAATAGAATCACCATCAAATTTTGCTCATGTCAACAACCACAGGAATTGTTCTTTTTGATGCAATATTGAGAAAATGATCGTGTAAACATCCATTTATAAAAATGTAAATTCTTTTCCTCATAACATTTAACATCAATCCTCATGCATAGGTAGAGGCTACCATTTACAATGATAAAATTACATATCTGGTGTTCCATTATACAGTATTAAGCTGATAGCAAAAACAATGTAATTATTTTAGTTGTATTAAAGTTTCAATTGATATTACAGCATTTTGGAAATGGGTTTCTGTCAATGTTCCTGTAGTAAGTTGATAGTGGCAGGTAATAGAAAGATGTTTAAAATTTACCACAAAAGTTTACCTCACTAATTTGGTCAATGACTGAAGACAAAATGTCCTATCACAATTTATACACATCTCACCTGTGATGTAAACAACATTATGGATGTGCCTGAGCTGAGTAAGTGATCCACTTCTGCTTAAAGCAAGAGGTTTCATTTTTGTTCAGAGTTTAACATTGATGGGATGAACTGAAGCAAAGTCAAGGAGTTTGTGTCGATAATAAGCAATGGCACAGACCTATTGGGCCAGTTGGACTTTTTCTGTACAGTAAATACTTTAGCAATATGGTATTAAAGAAGACTGACATTGCGGACCAAGAGGTCTCTGTCTTGGTTGTGATGTCTCTGAGTTCACTACGCGGAATTGCAAGTCCTTTATTTTATTATAAGCATCTTGTAGCTCTCCAAAGCAGGAATGACAGTACAACAGCATTCAATGATGTTTTTGTCACCTCCTTAGAATAGAAAGCCACAGTGCTCAGGTTTCTCTTCAAACCATCGGAGATTACACGTGGTGTCTGCGATTTCGATTCTTCTTCAGCTCCTGCACGTGCTTCCATTTCCCGGCCGCTCTGTTCTTCTGCCGCCGTCTCTCCCGATACCACAGCTGCTCGCAGTAATCATCCACCGTGAAGCTGGTGCTGCTCAACAGCTGCACGTAATCCTTGTATCTCAACCGAGACTCTGAGGCATAATCCCGGCCCTTGGCTTCCTCATCCTCAGCCTTCTGTGCACTCTCCATCTGTTCATTCTCTATAACTTTCAAATTCAGTCTCATGATGGTGTGAGTAAATGTTTGCTCCTGAGCTCTACAGAAATAAGAGCCAGCATCTTTTCTTTGCACACTCCGAATCAGAAGGCCATGTTCTGTTTTGATGATCCTCTCATCAGTTTTTATCTATGAGGTAAAAATCAAACAAGAAACGTATCAAACAATTGGAACCATAGAGTATGGTGTGACAATACTATGGCTTTAAGAGGTGGATTTTGTCCATTGTTTTGAAAGGAAGTCTTAAGGCAGAGGTGCAGAGCTGTCTACTGAAAAATCATGAAGTAAACAGTTTGTGAGGCCTTGGGTTGTTTTTAGACGATATAACAATACAGCAGCCTGAATGGGTGGGGTCAAGCTCCCACCGAAGCAGGAGTTTTAGTTTTAGCTTTCAGCAGTTATTTCTGGGGTTTGAAAGCTGCAGGACATCGCTCCCTGTTACACCCTCTCAGAGTTTTCTCTTGGTGTTTTCCTGCTTCTGAAGTTGCAGCGAAACAATCTGTTTTTCTGAATTTGCCTTTGTCAAAGTAATGTTACTATATTGGATGTTATTATATTGGAACAGTTAATTAGTAATGTTCACCATATCCACTATTTTGTTGAGCATTTTGATATAGTTACAGCTCTTTTGTTTTTATTTTGTCAGTAGTTTAACTGTTGTGTAAAGGTAAAATGTGTTTTGCTTAGAGTTGAGTAGTTTGACCAATTGAATTGCATCTAGAATGCAATACCTAACACTTACCTTTAAAATAAGAAATATTTAGGGTCTAGGTGATATATTTTGAGGGGGTTTGGTCTGGTCCATAAAAACAGGAAGAGGCCTTGTGGCCCATTGTATCTGAGCTTGCTCTGTGTCTTTGATAAAACAATCCATGACTGACATTCAAACAATTTAAACAGTTGAATAAATGTTTCTTTCAAGGTATTCAGGAAACAATACATACAAAATAAACGCAGCATTCATTTTGAAAATAATTAAGCTGTCGTGGCTTATTGAAGAAATGGCTGAAACATTTTAATGACCACACACAAAGGCAGTCGGAAGAGGAAGCCAGTTTAACTTCTCATTCAGGACAAGACCTTTGTAGAGTTTGAGCAGAGTTTTCCCAACTGTTATAATTTCAAACAGGGATTGGCAGAAAAGCAAATCAAAAGATGTAAACCCTTTCCACTAAATTCAGAGAAACAATGGCAGTAGTTAACAAATATTACAGCCCCAGCTCACAGTTAGTTCACCCTGACTTCAATCCCGGCTGTGGGGACTGCATGAGTCTTTATTTGGAACATTCTAATGCAATTAGAATTTAACTAAATCCAACTGCAATTTCCTGATGATAAACAGATAGAAAACATCATTGGTTAGAGGTGTTGTGAAGAAAGTTCAAGTCCCACCTGTACCAGAGGAATGTCATAATATCTCAACTGGTTGAATAAAAATATTTAAAACATCACTGACAGCACCACGAAAAAACTAATGATTAATTCTTTCCTTTTGTTCTAGCATTGAAAACGTCTAAGGTGATAAAGTTGGGAGGACAAAGGCAATCACATTTTTAGACTCATCGATTCAACTGCCGATCTTGTTAATGTTGACCTTGCCTTGCGTACGTCCTATGCAGCGTAACCTGTGTGCCTTACTCTGTCCAAGTGTTTTTTTCACCCTCTGGTCTGTATGTCCTTGCTTACTATGATCTGCCTGTACTGCTCGCAAACAAAGCTTTTCACTGTACTCACGTACACGTGACAATAAATCAAGTCAAATCAAAGCAAATCAAATCAACAGGTTGGAGTTCCCTGTGAATATCTGAGGATTCCTGCATTTGTGCTGTAACAGTGTGGGGTACAGTGAGGAGATACTGAAATCCACTAAGCACAGAGAACACAGGCAACATAAATAATGGCAGAGCAAGGGCAAGACCTTATCCAGCAATGTGGACGTGGTGCTGGATAACTGGGAATGTCACTAGAGCAGAAATCCGGAGCTACCGTCCTAGGGTAATAGCTTCAATTTGCACCATGGCAAATTATGAGATCTGAATTCTATAAAAATCTGGTAACCAAGCAGCGATTGGTATAAAAACTCATGCCCTTTAGGGAAAGTGTCACTCTTACACAGCCTGACCTGCAACTGACTGCAAAGCAAAGAACAATCTGATTGACTCCCATCTGTCCTCTGAGATGACCAAGCAAGGCACCCTGGGTTACATCAATCCTGCTGTAAAGTCAAAAGAAAGCAGTGAAACTGAACATACCACCCAGCACCGACACAGAATTCCAAAGTGACAATGATAAGCCCAGCCCTGCCAACCCGGCCCTACCAACCCCGCCCTACCAACCCGGCCACATTGTCCATGTTAAAATCTGGGAGCTTGTGCTAAAACTGGGAAACCTGTCAAAGCAACAGCCTGTTCCTAACATATTATCCCATCTTTTTATTTCAAAAATACACTTTACTCATAAAAATATCATTCTGTACATGCATAGTCACTGAAGCAGTTCAGTTCTGTACAGTAGCATATGAAGAAACAAACGAACACTGGAATTTGCCTCTATCCTACCAACAAACCAATGGCATTTCTTACTTGTACAAGAGTATATTTACGTGCATTTGAGGCTCCGGGGTGTCCGATAACTGAACGGACCCTTTAACCTAACCTAACTTGATGTTCAGAGCCATAAGTCAGCACTCTGGGGTGTAGCTAAAGGATCTCATGCCACTATTACGAAGAACATGAGTATTTCTCTGGTGTTCTGCCAGATGTTTTGCACTCAATCAGTGTCATAAAATCAGATTATCTGTTTGTTGTTCCACTGCTGTTTGTTGGACCTTGCAAATTGCATCCTGCATTTCTTATTTAACAACAGCATCAACATTTAATTGTACTTGATTGGTTGGAAGGTATTTTGGCTATTCTAAAATCATGAGAATCTCTGTAAAGGTGTAAATCTTTTATCATCATTCATTGTGAAACTATCAGATCACTGGTGTGTTAGAGAGGGTCTCTGTACAACTGTAGCCATGTTCTTGTGTGAAATGAGGGACAGAAGCATTATTCTGCACCAGAAATGTTCCTTTTTTTGTGTGTATCTTGTTCTTCATGGCCACTCTAGCGCGTTTTCTTTCTGGGAGGACAGTGGACAGAGCTGCAAACCGAAGATGCTGAGCTCAGCATTTCATAGACAGTTCCCACAGCAGAGTCTCTCTTCCTGTGGTAGTTTGATTTCAACACCGTACCACTCCCAAACCCCAGCACGGTGTCAGGGCTTTTGTAGCACAGTGGTAGTGACCCTATGTCTAAGCCAGGAGGTCCAGGTTCAATTCCAGTTACACAGAGGTGTGCAGTAACATCTCTGAACAGGTTGATTCAAAAAATATAAGGCTACAAAAGGCACAGAAAATGCTGAAGAAACTCCACAGGTCCAGCAGCATTCTGTGGACAGAAAGCAAAGTTAACATTTCAAGTCCAGTATGTCTCTTCCTCGGAACAGTGTCAGGCTCGGCTGCCTTACAAATTCACAGGAGAGGGGAGCGGCACAACGACTGTGCAAGCGTAAATTAACAGAGATGAGAAGGTATGACTCTGTGAGTGGGGAATCAGCTGGGGGCAGATGGGATTTATAAACATTTTTAAAACAATTCAATAAAGTGACTGTTCTGTAAGAAAGGAAGGGAAATCTTGACAATTTATTCAGAACCTTTTACAATTCTCTTGTGTCAAAAGCTTAGAATAAATCAGTACTTGATTAATGTAGAATCAGAATAAGTAATTATAATGTGTAAAGCACAGATGTATTTCCTAATCTTAACAATCTTGTTCACACAGGACAGCAGGCATGCTGAATAATTGGGAACTTTTTTCTTTTTGAGACTGAAGCTGGCCATAGGGAGCATTAATTCACATTAAAGGTCAAGCATGAAGCTTCCCAAACCATATGATAACACTGAATTTGTATAATGTAAAAGATACAGAGTGATAGCACCAGGTTAGGTCATTGCCTCTTGTTCCTCTCTAATGGTCTGTTTGGAGAGTTCCTTCATGACAAATTAATCATCATGTCATTGCACCTTTACCACGGCTAAAATCATTCAGCTGTTTGGTGAGAACACAGTGGCATCAAAGCATTCTTCACTCCCACAGTCCAGTCCTAATGGATAGAACATTTAACAGAAGCTGACAGTGCAAGATTCATCCAAATAAACACTTGTTTTTGGGCTCGTGCTCAAAGAGGTTATGTCTAAAACAGTGACCAAGACAGCATACTGTGCAAATTTCAGCCCAGTCTGGAACAGTCACATTTAGAACTGTGTGGCTCAAATGTTACTTGCCTCTTGTTAATGCTACATTTAAGATGCAGTTCGCTGCATTAGATACAGATGTACAACAGCATGATATTAGAGCATCAGATTCTTCACCACTAATTAATTGCATTTACAAAGATAATTTGAATGCTTTGATTCCCAAATTACTGTGAGTGCATCCTAATTTCCATGTAAACAGAGATATGATGACTCTAACATTGAGCAAGGTATGCATCTTGAGCTTTAACATTTTCAAACCAAAAGCCAAATATTGTAGGTGCAGGAATGTTGTCTCCTAGTTGGACTCATACCCGACACATAAGGATATGGTTATGGTTGTTGGAGGTCAGTCACCTCAGCTCCAGGACATCTCTGCAGGAGTTCCTCAGGATAGTGTCCTCAGCCCAACCATCTTCAGCTGCACCATCAATGACCTTCCCTCCATCGTAAGGTCAGAAGTGGGGATGTTTGCTAATAATTACACAATGTTCAGTGCTAATGTTCAGACCTCAAACACTGAAACAAGGCCATGTTTAAATGCAGCAAGGTCTGGACAAATCCATGTTTGGGCTGACAAGTGGCAAGGAAAATTTGTGCCACACAAGTGTCAAGCAGTGACCAAAGAGAGAATCTGACAATTCCCCCTGGCATTCAATGGCATTACCATCACAGAATGGCCTACTGTTAACCTCCTGTTACCATTGATCAGAAAGTGAACTGGACTAGCCATATAAATACTGTAGCAACAACAGCAGGGAATTCTGCAGTGAGCAACTATTCTCCTGACTCCCCAGTGTCTGTGCACAATATACAAGATCCAGGCCAAGAG